AGGCCTCCATTTCAAAAGACATCCATCTTGAATAAGCATATTACCACCTGTATGACACAACTGCTAGTAAAACAACCAGATAAGGAACTAGGCCACCCCACCCACAAACGTACCTTTCAGAAAGCCTTGGGTAATGACTGACTTCTTGTATGACCCACTTCTTCCTTCCCAAGCCCTAACTCTGGCTCTTATGCCTTACATTGGCCAGTAAAGAGTGGAAGTGCAAAACTGTAGGCACCCCACCCTCGGGCTCTAATAAAGGCAGGGCCCCAGGTCTGCTCCCCCTTCCATGTACCCTCAAGAAACTGTAGGTAATAAATCTTGTTCCTCAAAGTTCCCTCATGGTGTCTTCCTGAAGTGCATCCTGCAATCATAGTAAGAACCACAAGACCTAGCCCAGCCATAAATAAGGGCCCCCATGGAGGAAATATCTGTGGAGCTCCCTACCAGTGATGTGTACCAGGCAAGCACAGCAGGCACTCCTAACTGAGGCCACTGCCATCAGGAGGCTTGGGATGGAGGGAGTAACCACCTTCTTTCTTTTTTTTTTGTGATGGTGAGAACATTAAGATATACTCTCTTAGCAAATTTCAATTATACAATATAGTATTATTAACCAAAATCATCATGTTGTACATTAGATCCCAAGAACTTATTCACCTTATAACTGGAAGTCTGTACCCTGTGACCAACATCTCCCCATTTCCCCATCCCTCAAATACTGGCAACTGCTCATAGAACTCTCTGATTTTATGGGTTTGACTTTTCTTCGATTCCCTATATAACTGAGATCATACAGTATTCGTCTTCCTGTGTCTGGCTTCTTTCACTTGGCATAATATCCTCCAGGTTTATACATGCTGTTGAAAATGGCAGGATTTCCTTCTTTCTTCATAGCTGAATAATATTGCATTGTGTGTGTGTGTGTGTGTGTGTACCACATTTTCTTTACCTATTCATCCATTAACAGACACTTAAGTTGTTTCCATATCTTGGAATTATCCACATACTGTGAAAAACGCTGCAATGAATATGGGTATATAGATATCTCTGAGATACTGATTTCATTTCCTTTAGATATAGATCCAGAAGTGGGACTGTTGGGTCATATGGGGGTTCTACTTTTAATTTTTGAGGAGCTCCCATATTGTTTTCTGTAATGGTTGTCCCAACAGTGCTGAGTTCCCTTTTCTCCACACCCTTGCCAATTTGTGTTATTTTTTGTCTTTTTGTTAACAGTCATCTGAACAGGAGTGAAGTGAGTCTCACTGTGGTTTTGATTTGCATTTCTCTAATGATTAGTGAGGCTGAGCATCTTTTTCATATTTCTGCTGGCCATTGGTATGTTTTCTTTGGAAAAATTTGCCCATTTTTAAATCAGGCTATTAGTTTTTTTGCTATTGAGGCGTATGAGTTCCTTATACATTTTGGGTCAGATAGATGGTTTACAAATATTTTCTCTTATTCCACAGGTTACCTTTTCATTTTGTTGATTGTTTCTTTTGCTTTGCAGAAGCTTTTTAGTTTAACACAGTCCCAATATTTATTTCTGCTTTTGTTACCTGTACTTTTGGTGTCATACTCAAGAAATCACTGTCAAGACCTTGACAGGAGCTTTTCCCCTATGTTTTCTTCTAGAAGTTTCATGATTTCCAGTCCTAAATTTAAGTATTGAATTAATTTTATGTGTATTTCTGTTTATTCTCTTGCATGTGGATATCCAGTTTTCCTAACACCATTTATTGAAGATACTATCTCTTTCTCCATTGTGTATTCTTGGAGCCCCCGTCAAAGATTAATTGGCTCTATACATATGTGTTTATTTCTGGGCTCTCTATTCTGTTCCACTGGTTTGTTTTTATGCCAGTGCTATTACTGTTTTGATTATCAGCTTTGCAATATCGTTTGAAATCAGGAAGTGTGGTGCCTTCAGCTTTGTTCTTCTTTCTCAAGATTTATTGGCTATTTGGTGACTTTTATGATTCCACACGAGTTTTGGGATTTTTTTCTATTTCTGTGAAAAATGCCACAATTGGAATTTTGGTGGGAATTCTTACAGGGATCGCTCTGAATCTATAGATCTGTAATTCTATATGGAAGATAATTAGGGCAGTAAACAAGGTAGTGAAGGTGGCAGTAGAACTCTGAGTGGCTGAAGTATGGAAACAGAGAAGGCTCACCAAGGACCTGAGCACTGACAGTGGAAACTGTGAGTAGAGGGTTTCCTGAGGAGGGTAATCTTACATGTGATGCCTTAAAGAGGAGGACACAGGAAGTCTGGCTGGTGACATTACCTAACCATAAACAATGTAAGTGCAACAGATGTGTTTTAAGTACAGGTGTATTTTTCCCTAAGTGCTAGCAAAGAGGCATATTCGCAGCAGGTACTCAAAAATGACTAAATTTAGTGGAATTGGGAAAAAAAGGAGACTGAATTCCATCCTCAAGAGCTGGTATCTGACGTTATCAATTTAAAGTTAACACAGGATTCTGGAACCAGACCTAAGATTTCAGGAAGCTGATCTATACTACTATATGTGAGAAGTAAGACAGAGGTCAAGAACTGGGGAGCTGTGGGGCACCTGGTGGCTCAGTCAGGTAAGCGTCCGACTCTTGATTTTGGGTCAGGTCATGATCTCATGGGTTGTGAGACTGAGCCGCAGGCATCAGCGCAGTGCATGGAGTACATGCAGCCTGTTTAATATTCTCTCTCACTTTCTGCCCTCCTTCCCCGCCCCCCCCCAACTTGCTTGTGCTCTGGGAGCTCTCTTTCTCTCAAAAAAAAAAAAGAATCACTGAGATGTTCACAGTGAGGTGACACACAAAGAGTTTGAGCTATGGCTTTAGGAGGGAAAAGAAAAGACAACCAAATTCCATACTAACTACAGAACTGAAGAGTATCTACCCTGTATGCATGATGGTGATTTTGTTTCCTAAATTCTGCAATAATTATATTGTGTCTTGACCATATGCTCCAATTAAGAGCCATAAATAGGATGTGGATAAAAATATGAATCATCTTTTAACTGTCACCCACTTCTTCAAATAAAGCAATTTTTATAAACTTAGCATACCTGCAGATGTTCATAAATGTGCAAAGAAATTCCACTTAGAAACTTCTTCTGTTACTCAATAGGGTCAAGGCTTCAAAAAGGACCAGTTTCTATAAACTGTCAGGAAATACTTCTGAGGATAGACCAAAGGCAACTACTAAACCTGAATAAATATTTAGTAAAAATGTTTCAAAAAGTAACTTGTATGTTTACTATTATTCAGGTGCAATGTTCACATGTATATGCTGACCTATACTTGTGATCAGATTTGGAATGTTGGTATATAGCATCCCTACTCAGGACTGTTACAGACTAAATGTTTGTGTCCCTTAAAATTCCTTTTTTTTTTTTAAAGATTTTATTTATTTATTTGACACAGAGAGAGAGACACACAGAGACAGAGAGAGCACGCACACAGCAGGAGAGGGAGAAGCAGACTCCCCACTGAGCAGGGAACCTGACATGGGACTTGATCCCAGGAGCCTGGGATCATGATCTGAGCTGAAGGCAGATGCTTAACCGACTGAGCCACCCAGTCACCCGTGTCCCTTAAAATTCTTATATTGAGGCCCTAACTGCCATGTGATGGTATTGAGAGATAGGGCCTTTGGGAGTTAATTAGGATTAAAGGTGGCCATAAGGGTGGAGCCCTCATGATGGGATTAGTGGCCTTGTAAGGAGAGATATCAGAGAGCTTCCTGGAGCACATGAAATCATTTTCTCTCCTCTGTCATATGAGGACACAAAGAGAAAGAGAGCACTTGCAAGCCAGGAGGGCTCTCCCCAAAACCTAACCATGCTGAAACCCTAATGTTGGGCCTGTAGCCTCCAGACTATGAGAAAATAAATTCCTGTTAATGAAGCTACCTAATCTACGGTTTCTGTTACAGCAATGATAAAAAGCAAAATCTAAATACCAAATTATTTTTAAATTCCAGTATTTTTTTTAACAGGTTTTGTTTTAAAGAATGGTTTTAGATTTATAAAAAATTTGAAGAGATTAGCACAGAGAGTTCCTGTATCACCTGCTCCTTTCTCCCTCCTTCCCCACACAGTTTCCCCTATCATTAGATGCTCAGTAAGATGCGCATACCACAGGAGAAGCACACCAGAAAGAGGAGCAAACCAGAGCCACAGCCACCTCTCTCCCACCTCAGATTAACTAAGGGTCAGGCTTGGGACAAACGGCCCTTAAATGGAATGCCTACGGAGAAGTGAAGTTCTATTTTTCTTTTTTAGAAGAGTGAGAATGCTGAATTTTCATATGTTAGAAGCAGGTAATTTGCAGCTACCTGGTGCTACTTTCTCCATTTAAAGGCCTCCAGGAGTCTACCAATGGAGTCAAGGCTCTCTCCCCAGCTCCAAGGTTCCTCTAGGTCTGGCCCTGCCCAGCACCAGCAGCACACCTACTGAATCTCTCCTGTTACACCTCTGCACTCCGCACAACCCCCGGATCCAAATTCTGCTCAACTGTTGGGACCCATCTACTCCACAGTCTTTTCGAACCCATACCGTGTTCTTTCCCTTATTTCCCAAATATCCACATTATCAGCAGGCCAGAGTTTATCACTTAATCATTCTCTAAACATTAGGGTAAGAGCCTCTTTAGAGTAAGGACCATGGCTTACAATATTTTTTCCTCCACCATTCCTCTTAGTACAGCCCTGGAAATATAGTGCTTGATCAATAAATATATAGCTGATTACTAGTTGGTCCACAGAGAAGGCAAGTTTTAGACAATTGTTTGATCTACTCAAATTTTTAGAGAAAACTACCTGCAGAAAATGAAAAGGACTTTAAAAATCCTAAAATTACCAAAACGTGGCAGCATGCGCCCAATGCCACAAGCAGAGGTTTCCAGTGGTGTAACTCTTAACCTTAGCAGACTTTCTAGACACATGAACACCCACTCGCTGTAAAGGAAAAGAGATGTTAATAAAGACATACCGTCTGAGGTTATAAGAATCTTCTTGCCTTTGGGGACCAAAACATGTCCAGCATGACTGATAACCCAAACTGGAAAGCGTCGGTTTATTGAGGAGTACAAAGCCTTTGCAAATGGTACATAAAAGGCAGAAAAACCTGGATTACCTAAGAAAAGAAACACAGACCTTAGTTAACTAAAGCAATAAGCTCACATAAGATATGCAGAGTGGAAAAGAAGGATCCATTTGACCTCACGCTTTCTTCTACAAATCTACTAACATTTATATATACACTTCAATTTTAATATCCTTTATACCGTAAGTCTGGGAATGATCACTCAGAAAATTTCTGCTCCTGCTTTGTTCCCCAATGGTTTCAAGATAAATTCTTCCTCCCTATTCCTCAGCTTAATAAAGGAACCACCAATCCTAAACCCAATACTCAAGTCCTAACACCAGGAGTCACTCTTGGTTTCTCCCTGTTTTTCACATCCAATTCACCAATAAGTCCTGTCAACTTTGTTTCCAAAACAGATCTTACATCTTATGCATCTCATGTCTCTCCATCAGCATTACCACCTTGAGTTTCCTGCAGCAGCCTCCTCATGGGCCTTCTATCTACTCTTGTCCCCAGGGAGCCCATTCTGCAGGGTACCCAGAAAGATACCTTCAAACTTCAAATCAACTCATAGCAGTATCCTAATTTAAACACCTCTCAGAGGCTTCCCATGACCATCCTAGTAGTTCAAAGTCATTATAATCCTGTCTCTAAAGCCCTTCAAGATTTTACTGTGCTCAGTTAGCAAGCTGCATGAAAACAAATCAGTGTAAGAATCATTCACAAACGGTACTTTGAGGAGTTTACTGAGGTTTCCTCATCATTTATCACAAGTACTGATATTATAAGCAGATGTATAGTTTCACCTTTTGGGAAAAAGACCATCAACTAATACATATAGACTTTTCTTGTGTATATACAGAAGGTATTTTTGACATGGGTTTGCTATAGAGAAATAGAATGAATAATGACCTTTTAGAAGAAGAGTCAATCTGATACATTTTTAGGGGAAAAGACAGTGAAATGGGGCTTTCATCCTGCAATCATCATCTGTATAATGTTTTCACAGATACTGGTCCACTTCCATCAATATTAATTTGCCAATCAATTTATTATTTCTTCATGCTATTAGGTTTTCTCCTCTTTGCAATTACATGACATGGTTTTGCTGCACTGATTGAACCTCTGCCACCCTTGTCACATGACACTGATTTCTTCATTACCTGCATCTTTCAGTGTCCTAGACAGGCAAAGAAGCAAAGTGGTTAAGGGCATAAACTCTGGAGCCAGCCTGTGTGAGGTCGAATCCTGGCTTTGCTACTTACCAAGTGTGTGACCTTTGGCAAGTTACCTAACCTCTCTGGGTCTTAGCTTCTTTGTCCACAAGATGAGGATAATAATCAAGTACGTCACGTTAAGAACTAAGTGAATTAACGTATGTAAAGTACTTAAACACTGCCTGATACACAAGTGCTGCGTAAATGTTGGCTCTTCAGACTTGTCATGTCTAGCCATGACAGTAACAAACGGCCTATTCACTCATATTGCTATTTTGCTTCTGCTGCATTCTGACCTACTAACCCATGCTCCAAATTTCTTTTTGTTATTGTGCTCGTGTCATCTTTGTTAAATAGCACAGAAACTTCCTCAAACACAGTAATATGCCCCATGACTGACATGGGGCAGCTTGAGGAGGAGGAAGAGAGGAGGGGTGTATAGCACCAAGGCTGTAACATCTGTGGTGGATGTGGGTAGCACTGTTTCATGTTTTATATCTAAATCTTCAGTAAGTCTGGAATATTTCTGAGTGTAAAGTACAAAGTAGCAATCCAACTTCGTTCCAAGTGATTAGCCAAGTGTCCCGAGACCATTTATTATATAATCCATTCTTTCTGCATTGATTTGAAATGTCTTCTGAATTTAATACTGAATTTTTACATTAACTTGCTAATTCTTTTTTTATAAGATTTTATTTATTTATTTGACAGAGAGATAGCACAAGTAGGCAGAGTGGCAGGCAGAGGGAGAGGGAGAGGGAGAAGCAGGCTCTCCGCTGAGCAGGGAGCTGGACGTGGGGCTTGATCCCAGGACCCCAGGATCATGACTTGAGCCGAAGGCAGCCGCTTAACTGACTGAGCCACCCAGGCGCCCCCAGCTTGCTAATTCTGATTCCAAATAATTCTATTTATTTTCTCCTCTGCCAGTGCCATACTGTCTTGATTACTGTCTTGGGTATGTATGTATGTATGTATGTATTTATTTATTTAATTTATGTATTAATTTATTTATTAATGTTTCAGTAACTGACAGGGCAAGTCCCTTCTCTTAATTTTTCCCAAATTTTCTAGCCTGGTCTCATAACCTTTAGAATTACTTTCACCAGCTTCAATTTTATCTTTTTGGAATTCTGACTGAAATTTCATCTCATTTATACATTAATTTAGAAAGATTTTATTTTTTTACATTACTGAGTATAATCTTTTAGGAATGCGTCATGTCTCATTCAAATGTTTTATGTCTCTCACAAAGTTTTACAGTGGTTTTCATAAGGCTAGAAAATAATAACAGTCCACATTTTATTTTATTTATTTGAGAGAGAGAGAGAAAGAGAGAGCAAGCAGGGGAGGGGCAGAGGGAGAAGGAGAGAGAGTCTGAAGCAGACTCTCCGCTGAGTGTGGATCCCAATGCAGGGCTTAATCTCCTGACCTGAGATCATGACCTGAGCTGAAATCACAAGTTGGATGCTCAACCAACTGATCCACCCAGGTGCCCCTAGTCCACATTTTAAAGTGCTGTACATTATTACATGCCAGGCAGCATTTAAGTGTTTTGCACGTATTAACTCATTTAGTCCTCCCATGAGGTAGTATTATTCTTATTTCCATTGTATGGATGAGGAAACTGAGGCACAAGGAGGTTAAATAGCTTGCCCAAGATCACACAGATGATAAGGGCTCAATAAATATTTGATGGCTGGAAGAATATACAAAAGAAAACAGTAATAATGAATTTAAAAAAGAGCATAAATTACCTGGTTTAGGATCTTCTGCATACCTTGTTTTAGTTAATCTTACAAAAGGCCCACAAAGTAGCTGGCATTATCATTAGGGGTAATGCATAGGCAATCCCTTGCATGATACTTGGCACATAGTAAATGCTGAATAAATGGTAGCTATTATTGCTAACATTATTATTACATATTTATTTTTTTATTGAATAAATTTGACACGTGACGTTCTGTGGTTTAAGGTGTAGAGCATGTTAAAACTGGTTTCAGAAGAATCCAGAGGTAACAACTACATGATTTAGATGCAATAATTATGATGAGTTACAATATGAAACTGAAGAGTACTAGCTAATGAACTGCTATAAAACAATGTTTTCTCCCTATCTCTGGGTTTTGATTCTTTCCCTTAATGACTACAAGATCTTAAGCTTTCTTGTTCACCATTTTATCATCATTAAGTAAATGATAATGTCAACTACTCCATTCTGATTTCATTCTAGTCAGTGCTATAGCTTCTTTTGTATATTCTTTTAGTTATCAGTTATTTATTGACCACTTACTACATGGAAATCACTGTGTCAGGCACAGGACAGATAAAGGTCTTTTTGTAATTCATAGTCTAGTAGGAAAATATATACACATAACTTAATAAGTAAATAAGATAACTCAAGAGTGTGCTAACTTCTATGAGGGAAATAAACAGCGTGTGGTAGAGAAGGGAAGAAATTAGGGTGGCCTGAGAAAAATGTTTGAGGAGGCGGCATTTAGCTACGACTGAAAAGATGAAAACAAATCAACCTTGTAAAAATGTGAGGTAGGAGACCAGGACAGGGGAAGAACAGGTGCAAAGGCCCTCAAGCAATGAAAAGCTTGGCTCCAGAAGAAACAGAAGAGTCCACAATGGCCAGTAAGTAACATGAAGATCCAACTCACAACTGAGATGGAAGTAGAAAACATAACGCACTATTTAAAGGTCATTGCATACTTCGCCATGTAAATATTATGGTTACATAAGTGTAACATATACACTTTATGAGCCAGGAACTTAATTTCTTGGTTAGGAAACCAAAAAAGATTGAAAAGGGTCTTGTTTATGCAACTAAAATCAGATACATACACACGCCTGCATGTATATTTGTATCTTCAGGTGTAGGGATGTTTGAAAACATTCCAATATAAAAATGCTAGTAAAACACTTTATCAAAGCATATCAAAATGTGTTATAAACACATACTTGACTGAACATATAGTCAAATGCCTGAGCGACATATAACAGACGCTGCAGTGACCATCTCTAGACCCCAACTGTCAATAAACTCTAACCATTCAACACTGCAATTGCAGACTTATACCTTCCAGTTAATCTTGTAGGGGACAAAAACTGCCACATATAAAATTAATGTGGCACAGCATCTATACAGAAGGCTGTCAGGTGGACAGAACTTTGGGCTTATCTAAGGAGCCTTGTCCGTTCCATTTTCAATCACTATACTCCATACAAGATACATTACATGACTATTATACCCAGATGACCCCTTGAGAGTTATAATGACTCAATATGTTCTAGAGTGAGTTCTCAAATTGGCTTCCTTTGCTCATTTCCCTATTTAAAGAAAGTCCAAGGATACTGTTACTTAACAAAAACTCTAAAACATAGGTTCACTGGAAAAGATGAAATTAAAAGTTCCTCAATCTGTGGATTCTAATAAATCACTCCTCATTATCATTACCAACTTAAAAGTAATTAATTTTGCTAAGTACTAATTTTCCCCACAGTATAAATAGACTCAGCCCAAATATAAAATACAGTTCTGAATTCCAAAAACTAATGAGCAGCACCAGCCTACAGCTCCCATGAACTCCAAGAAAAAGGGCCAAGGGCAGCAATGAGAATAGAAGGGCAAACATGAAAGAACACTAAGAAACTAAAAAAAAAAAGAAAAAAAAAAGAAAAAAAAAGAATACTAAGAAACTAAGTATCATCTGAAAATGTCAAAGCATTATAAAACAGCAACACCATAAAACAACAAATGTTTTAAGTTTCCCTTTCTCCACCAGGTGTTCACCAAATGCTCCCTCTATCTACCTCTTCATCGTATGTTAAACCTGGCCTTCCCCTAGCACGGACTCTTCCTTTCAAGCCTGTGTAGTAGAGCAGGCACTCTTCTCTAACACCTCTTATGCCTCAAGGAAAGCAAAGACTTCTGCAACACAGGGTTCCCCTTACCGAGGGCACATGAGTGGGTGAATGAGCACCTCTGAGTGGGGAAGCACAGTGAGCAATCAGCTCCACTTACTAATCCATTTTACTGTAACAACCTCTCTGCCTCCATTTCCATCTATCAACTGTTTAGTCATTCTCACACATTTCCTCGAAAACCTTGATCCTTAAATGACAGTTTCACTTGCCATTCCACGTCAGGAGATTTTAAATTCCAGGTGGATTCACTGAGCCAACATCTTTGTCTCATAACTCATTACCTTGATCAAATTCAAAGAACTTCAGGTACATTAAGCTTATACAATGAGCTACGTCCTAATCAGTGGTGTGCATATCACAATCCTCTGGAGGGTTTGTTAAAACAGAGGCTGCTCCATCCCCAGAGTTTCTGGTTCAGAAGGTCTACAATGGGGCCCCAGAACCTGCATATCTAGGGAGTTCTCGGATGATACTGCTGGTCCCGACCCCAACTTTAAGAATCACAGGCTTAGATTTTCTCATTACTCAGAAATGGTTAACATTCAAACCATTCTCACTCTGATAGGCCTTCTACTCTTTCAGATCTTACTCCCAATACACCCACTATTCCATCACAGTGCTGCTCAAAATTTCTCTACTTGGTTTTGGTTGATAATTCTTTTCATCCTACGTATCTGCTATTCTCAATGCTGATCACTTTCCTCAGGGCCCTTATCTACCCTCTGCCATACTTATTCTCAACAGATCACCTCAACTCTTAATTAGCAGAGAACAGGAGGCACGAACTACTTTACTCCCTCTGACATGCCTTCACGCTTCTCCACTTGAGTAATTAACTTCACCTCCTTCATGCTCGCCTCAGAAGAATATTCCATATCCAGTCTAAGACAATGTTTCTACTTACTTTCTCAATTCTATGCTCTGCCCTGGCCTCAAATCTCTGCTCCATCAAATAGCATGTGTCATGTCTATAATTTCAAACTCTCCCTCGCTGCTAGCAAAGCATATGTATTTTTAATTTTAATAGATGTCAACAGACTGCTTTCCAAAAAGACTTTTACATCATGGCAGGAGACTGGAAGTTTTATTTCCGGAAGAGACTTTTTTTTAAAAAAGATTTTATTTATTTATTTGACAGAGAGAGACACAGCAAGAGAGGGAACACAAGCAGGGGGAGTGGGAGGAGGAGACGCAGGCTTCTCGCGGAGCAGGGAGCCCGATGCAGGGCTCGATCCCAGGACCCTGGGATCATGACCTGAGCCGAAGGCAGACGCTTAATGACTGAGCCACCCAGGTGCCCCATGGAAGAGACGTTTTGGATCAGGAATCTTAGGCCAGCCGCAAACAGAAGCACTATACTGAGAAGGGGTTAGATCAATTGTTTACTAAACACTGAAACTCCCAACCTTCTTTCCCTTGTTCAGCCCTGAACATCAGCAAACAGGCTTCCACTCCTCAAACTGGATACTGGAAGATTCCTTCCTGGAAAAATTGAACGGCCCAAGAAACAGCTACAGATATGAAAGCTGGAAATTCTCCAGTGAAATGGTGGGTCCCTACCCGATTACCCTAGCATGAGGATTCCTAGAGTGACCAGCCATCCTGTTTTGCCTAGGGCTGTTGTGGTTTTAGTACCAGAAATCATGTGTCCTGGAAAATCTCTCAGACTACGATGGTTGGTCACTCTAGGCGCAACTGTAGACAAGTCTTATCACTGAACACAAAGATTTCAATTAGCTGTTTATGTCTTCCTCTGAAAAATGAAAGGGTTACCAAACATTTGAGGAAAAACAAACACTAATGTAAACAAACGGTAAAAACTCTAACAATGCAAGAAGCCAGAGGAAATGATAATGTATGTACCCAGGAAACAAGAGACTATAAAAAAAGAAAAAACATAGCTTTTAGAATTGAAGTATATGAGTTTCTGGCATAAAAGGGTTCACTAAAGCTTACAGTGGATGAAAAAACATCCACAGCAAGGTACTAGAAAACAGCTAAGACGCCCTCTAAATTGTCAGGAAAAATGATCTGCAATCTAGAAGTCTAAAACATCTTCCGACATGATAGATCTTTAAAAGATTACTTCCCACGCACCTATTCTCAGGAAGTTACTAGGAGATGTGCTTAAGCAATAAACCAAGAAATAAGAAAATATGGGATCCGGGAAATGTAATCTAACCCAGGAGGAAAGTGAAAAGAATCCCCAGGATGGCCTGTGCAGCAGACCCACAGGTCAGTCAGTCCAGACTGCAGCCAAAGAACGGAGTTCTGTGAAGGATATCTCCAAAGAAAGAAAAAAACAAAACCTGACTGATTACTCAAACGCAGTAAGAGGATTTTTTTTTCCCACTTCCTAGAGAATAATTTAAGGATAAATAGTGATTCAAAAACAGAAAACTAAGCAAATAAGACAATCATTAACCCAGGGAGAACAAACAAGAAAAAATATACAAGAAAAGAAATGCGGGGCGCCTGGGTGGCTCAGTCGGTGAAGCGTCTGCCTTGGGCTCAGGTCATGATCCCAGGGTCCTGGGGTGGAGTCTTGTGTCAGGCTCCCTGCTCCAGGGGAAGCCTGCTTCTCCCTCTCCTCCCTGCTCGTGCTCTCTATCGCTATCTCTGCCTCTCTCTCAAACAAATAAAATTGTTAAAAAAAAAAAAAAAGGAAATGCAATCATAATACCCCACTGACTTAGCGATATATGATACGATACATATTTACAGTTTCACTTTTAATCTTTCAGGCTGATATAAATATGTTCTAACTCACAATTTTAAAAGCACTTTGAATACCTACAATCAAGCATCTACCCATACCTAACATTCTATTGATAGTGATCCAGCAAAAGTCACAAATGACTCAGTTGCCAAATCTCAGGATAAATGTTTTACTAAACTTGTAATCATCTTGGAATGAGACAGAAAAAACTATTAAGAAAACTGTCAAAAATGTGATAGTTCTAATTATTCTAAATATTAAGGAATTTTAAATAGTGGATTGTAAAACTATATGTATAGTATACTTCCAATTATGATTTAAAATATATGTAACAGACAACATAACATACATAATATAAATGCAGAGAAAAAACCAAAAAGCCCAGCCACTAAAGGACCAAGGGTGGTTGTTATCAATGGTTTGAGTAATTTTATTTCCTTCCACAGAGTTTTTTTATATTTATCAATTTCTCTTTAAAATCTGAAAAAGTTATTGTAAGTATCTGTAGATAGACTCCTCATCCAGATTTTTAAACTTACCTGTAATAATAAAAATAAGCAGCTTAGGCCTATTGGCTCTTGGCTCATTGAAGAGGTTAGTCCAGGGCCCACATTTTAGAACCTGGGTTTCAACTCCACAACATAAAATAAATTCCTCATGCACAGGAACTTCTTCCTTGATTTCCGAGTCCATTTCTAAATAAGAGGAGAAAAACAATATAGTGAGTTGCTAAGACGTAAAGCTTTGAGCCAAAGGCAATATTCAAGAATTTTTAAAAAGGCAACTTTCAATATACACAAGCAAATACAGAAGGTATAGGACTAGTCAACTATTCTGGATTATAGGATCACACACACACACACACACACACACACAAAATTAAAACAAACCATAAGAGTAAGGAGAAACAGGGAGACATGTCTTCAGTGAAGTAAAAGACTAGACAGCAGTGTGAATCAGGATCCGATTAGCCAGGGATGCCGCCTAACATCCTACAGTGCTGAGGGCAGCACTCACAACAAAGAATTAACTAGCCCAAAAAGTCAATAGCACCAAGACTGAAAAAATGCCCGGCTCTAGTGCTAACGTGCCTGAAGAGTACAGCTTTCTCCAGCATCTGGCTGGCTGCTATGTGTTTCCTCTTTCTCTTGCTCTCTCTTCTGGCAGCAACAGCAACAATATGGCAAGAGTCCCAGATAGCACAGGTGTGTACCTCAGACCAGGTGGCTGCTCCCTGCACCCTCTCCTCAGCCCACAGGCACACTAAAGAACCAGCCACCTGACCACACAGTAGCCTGGAACTGCCTTGCCCAACAGAGCTCTGAATTGCTTAAGAGGGAAGCTTCTCCAACCGCCCATTCATAGCAGTACCCAAAGCAGTGCCCCAAACTCCTCTGACTGTGCTTAACAGCCTCAACTTACCTGGATGGATCCCAGAGTGGTTTACTGTGGCCCTTCCAACAGATTCGCCACCACTCCCGACCTCACACCTGCACCAGCTCCCTGATTCACTCTGCGCAACCTCTCACCAGTCTTGGTTCACCTGCTGACACAGTGACTGTGGACCAGCTTTGGTGCAGACAACCACCAAATTTCTCTACCATACACCTGCAACCACACCTTCTTCAATGAGATCTAAACCCACATTCTATGTTTGTCCTTTCTTGGGTACTCTCCCTCAGCCCTAGGCTATCTTTATAGAGTTTTCTTTATATAATAATTTTAGAGTTTCTCTTTTTCCACAGCTTAATAATTCCTTAACTATTTAAGTTACTGTGTGGTTTCTGTCTCCTGAATGGATCTAGACTGACATATCTTTCGTCGTCTATCCAAATTTTTCTCTTCAAATCTTTGCCATCTTAGATGTAGCTCAAATTCTACTTCCTACTTGGAAGTCTCCCCTGAAAATCTCAAATAAAGGAAATCTCCTTTTCCTCTAAACTCATAGCACCTGTCATTATCCTAAGTCAACAATAGTAAAGGTAGCCAGGTAAACTTTACCTAGTAATCTGTACACTTGTTATTCATGTCTCTCCCAGCACAACAGTCAATAAATCTACTGCAAGACTACCCATTCCTCCCCTGACACCCACCTTAAGGTAAACGTAATGGTAGTTAGGATGTAGTGACACCAGAGATTCCACATTGATGGTAATGGTGAGAATGGCCTTTGGGAAGCAATCTGGCAGAAGTGGGCAATATCCATAAGACATAAACTTTGACTCAGCAATTTTGGGGAAACAATTTTAAAAAGGGTATCTAAAATATTTTTCAAAGAATAAATGCACGGAATGCTATTTACAACACTGAAGAGCTGAAGAACTTCAGTGTTCATTAATGGGAGAATGGTTACATAAAATACGATAATTCATTATACAGACACTAAAAATGATATATATGACTCAACATTCAGGGGGATGTTACAGTTCAATCTTCTGACCACTATTATGTTCAATCAAAACTGCTCAGCTCTGCTAAATGGTGATAATTTATCCATCTGCTTTCTAACATTTCTAAAACCTCACTTCTCTAGTCAGATATTATGTTGCCTCTTTCATTTTCTTCATTATGCCCTTATTAATTTTACCATCATTTTACTGGATTTAGGAATGAGGAAGAAGTAAACATATTCCAATCTCCATGTGTGACCAAAAGTCTCTTAAATAAAACTACTTAGAAAATAAAAAAAATTCTCACTCAAAAAGTGGGAACTCCTCTTCATTCAAAATAAATTGACTAAATAAATAAAAGTATCTCACATTTTAAGGACTGATTTTTAGTTTATTAATAAATGTCACTGTAGTCCAATCTCTTAAACTGTCACAAAATACATTATATTTATAAAGGTCTTATGACATTTATAAAACATTGGAAACAATATTAGATTTAGCTGTTCTATATTGCCTTATAGTAGAATACCATCAGAGAAGACACTGGTAAATTGAATACTTGCACCAGAAGAGAATCTAAAGTTATTAACTATATTCAACTCACAAATACTTAAATTTGTAATTGTTTTCAAAACACAATATAAGAAGTACACATATGTGGAAAACAGCAGCAGAAGCTGTTTTTAAATTCTGTGAATTTTTAGTTACTCTAGTAGCTAACATTAACATGCTGGCAATCTCTACGAATCTGGTCAATCTGGGAGTTGTCTTAAAGTAGAGGGTTTTTTCGTTTTGTTTTGTTTTAGTTTAAAATGTAGATTAAAATTAAGTTCAATCCCGTGTTAGCAAGGAAAGACTAGCTTGTGTTGAAACAACCTTCCATTGAGAACAATTTGAAAAGCCAGAGAAAATGTTGGAAAAAAAAAATCTGTTAAAAAAAATCAGTAACCAATAAAAGAACCATTCAAGAATGTGTAATAAAAGAGGAAGTAGAGAATCTATTTAATATGAAAATGAGAAGAAAGCAGAGAATATAGAACAGTTATAACAAATAAATTTTGTTTTTTTTAAATTTTAAAATGGTAGTAAAATTTTGTATTTAAACCCAAATATATCAGTAATAAATTAAATGTAAATAGACCAATTATGCCAATTGAAGGCAAAGAATCAGATTGGATAAAAATAAACAACTAACTGTATGCTACTTATAAATGATACACATTAAGAATAAAGAATAAAAGTGAAAGGTGGAAACAATATATCACGGAAATACTAATGAATGAAGAGGTGGTATAGTTATACTGAAATCAGATTTAAAAAGTAAACTTTAAAGTAAGAAGTACATGAGAGATAAATAGGAGCATTTCAAAAAGTCAATCCACCAGGAGACCATAACAATTTTCAATTAGCATGTACATGATATTTTAGCCTCCAGAGATAAATTAAAAACTGACAAATGTAAAAGGAGAAATAAAGACCACAATCATAATGGAAGATTCTGACATACCTCAGTATCTGATAGAATAAACAAAGAAAAAAGTCAATGAAAATATAGAAAATTTGAATAATTGTTTATATTAACATAATGAACATAACTGGCATGTGTAGAATTCTATACCAAATAATGGCAAAATGCACATCCTCTTCAAGTGACATGGAACATAAACTGACCATATACTGGGCCACACAGCAAGTCTCAACAAATTTCCAAAAAGTGAAATAATATATTCTCTAATCACAGTGGAATTAAGCTAAAAATAACAAAAATAGTAAGAAAATCCCCCAAATTTTGGAAATTAAGCAATAAACCTCCAAATAACTGATGAGTGGGGGAAGAATTCACAATGTAACTGAGAACTAAATAATAATGAAATAAATAATGAAAATAAGATATCAAAATGTATGGGATGCAGATAAAGGCATGACTGAAGAAAATTCAAAGTCTTAAAATGCTTTCTAAAATATTAGAAAAAAGGGCTGGAAATCAAAGATCAAACACATATCTTAAGGAGTTAGAAAAACTAAATGAATCCAAATAAAGAAAAACAGAAAAAAGTAATAAAGAATAGAAATTAATAGAATGGTGAAAAAGTTTACATTTGAGAGCATTAACAAAGCCTGAAGTCTAGCCTTTGAAAAGACCTATAAATAAATAAACCCCTGAGAAGACTCATCAAGAAAAGGGGCACAAATAACCAGTGAGACGTGAAAAAGTGATTATCACTCTAGGTTCTATGGACATTAAAAAGATAATGAAAGAATATCATGAAGAGCTTTAAGCCAATAAATTTGATATGGGAAAATTCTATAACACAAAAAGGCTAGGAGACTCTTAACAGTCCAATAGCTACCAAAGACACTGAATCCATAATTCCTGGTCCAGATGAGTCACTTACGGAAGAAATGACACCAATCTTACAGAGTTGTCCAGAAAACAGAAAAAGAGGGACCACTTCCCAATTCATTTTATGAGCTGTGCAAACCGTGATATCAATACCTGACAGTCTTCATACGAAAGGACAATTACAAGCCAACCTCTCCCATGAAAAGAGATGCGAAAACTCCATTCAAAATATTAGCAGACCAAATTCAGTGAAACATACAACCAAAATGTGTATATATCAGAAATATAAGACTGCTAAACATTCAAAATTTAGTCAATTTATCACATTAATAGAATAAAGGAGAAAAATCATAGAATCATCTCAACCAATGAATGAAATGAAAATACATTTGATAAAATCCAATAAAGAATCATGAAAAATCTCTTTAAGAAAAGAAGAAATAGAGGGATCTTCCTTGATGAAATATAAGTATCTTAAAAAACACCTACAGTGGGGTGCCTAGGTGGCGCAGTCCACTGAGCACCCAACTCTTGGTCCTGGCTCAGGTGGTGATCTTAGGGTCAAGAGATCAGGCTTGTTTGGGATTCTCTCTCCCTCTCCCTCTTCCCGCCCTCCCCCCACCCCAATGCTCTCTCTCTCAAATAAATAAATAAACCTTAAAAAAAAAAACCTACAGTAAACATTTTATTAAGGGTGAAATGCTGAAAGCCCCTCTGAAAGTTTGAGATCAAGACAAAGAAATCTGCTATTAACACTTCTATATTGTACTTGAGGTCCTAGCCAATGTAAGACAACACAGAAAAGAAATAAATGTATGTGGATTGGCTAAGAAGAAAGAAAACTGTCATTATTCACAAATAACAAGATAATATATATTATATATATATGTAGATATATATATTTATGAGTGTTCCAGTTACTCTCGCTACATAACATACTACCCCAAAACTTAGTTGCTTAAAGCAACCATTTTATAATACTCATAGATTCTTTGGGTCAGGAACTGACAAACAGCACAGCAAGAATAGCCCATCTCTAATCCATAATGTCTGGGGCCTTTGCTGAGAAGGTTCAACAGCTGGGTGTGATATGTTCAGTGAGGGCAAGAGTTGTTGTCATCTCGAAGTACCTCTAGTCACATGTCTGATAACAGATGCTGTTGTCAGGTTTTGGCCAGGAACACATACATGGGCTGACTATATATAGTCTCTCCACATGGACTACTTGGACTTGTTCAGAACATGATGGTTGAGTTTCAACAGCAATTATCTCAAGAAGGCCAGATTGAAACCATGTGACCTTTTAAGACCTAGCCTCAGAAGTCACATGGCATCACTTCCATGTTAGCCATA